TGTTGTTGGTCCAATGGAGGGCCGTTGACAGAGAAGGAGAGAGTTCCCAGTCCTTTGTGGGATCCCCTTCCACAAGCACATTAGAATGGATTGGCTGCTTTGTTAGTTTCTGTGATTTGGCCTGGGTCAGTTTTCTATGTTGCTATAATAATTTTATTTTTTTTCCAGCTCAGAGCTGTTATATATGAACATATATATAGGGTGATAAATATTTTTGCAGTAAGCAGAATGTTGCTTATGTGGTGATATCTAAAGGATTGGAATCTGTACCTGAAAATATTAAAACATAAAGATGCTAGAGTGGTAAATTGCTTATGCAGTATTAATAACACAGCAGCTGATTGCAAAGAAGTCATGAATGCAATTGAATTGGTGATGGCATTATAACCACTTAAACTGATTGTTTAAAGGGCCTGTTCTGGCTACTCCAAATGGTGAATTGGTTTTTTGGAAACCTGGAATTTGTCATGACCAAACCAAAACTGTGTGGGTATTCCATGTTTGTTGCCTTGGATTGATTGATTGATTGATTGATCAGTCGCCTGACCTATCTAAGCCCAGGACCCAAGGACAAAGGAACCAAGACCCTTTATTACCATCGCTTTATCTTAGAAATGAGAACAATCCACTACCTGTTTCAGAGTAACAAGCTTTTCCAGCATGCAGGCTCTCTGATTTCCCCAGAGTTAGGTTTCTGATTTGATCCCAGACTGTCCTGCTTTCCCTTTGGGCATCCCTCTTTTCATCAGAGAGAAGTTGGAGGGGATGTATATCAAAGGTGTAAAAAAAACACCCAAACAAATGAACAAAAACACAACCCGTAACACAAATAATAGAAAGCAGTCATGACACATTATGGTGTCATGACTACACAGGTGCCATTGCTATCTATATGCAGTTTCAACTAGGGGTGTCCTTTGGTAGTTCTTAAACAGCCTGGCTGCAATCCTATACTCAGTGGTTCTTACTTCTGTGCTGTTGTGCTGTTTAAGAAGCAAACTGCAAGGTATTCAAATAGCTCACCATTTTACCAGGACAAACAGGACTGTAGATATGTTTATCTTTCCCCTTTCATTTAAAAAATATTTTTATTGAAAGTTTTCAACATAAGATACAAAGAAAAACCAAACTAATCTAAAAAGATAAAGAGGAGCAAAAATAAGAACAAGAAATAGATATAAAAACCCTCTGTCACAATTGTTTCATATCCTTCATCCATATGCGGAAAAGTAGACCTTCCCAGCTCTCACCTGGGAACTTCTCTTTCTTCCCCTAGCCTCCCACCCTGGGACTCGGAGATCCCTTCTACCCTGTTTCCCACTTTCCCCTTTCAGAAGTGTGCAGAGTGCTCCCCTTACACTTGTAAGAATGAATTTGTATGCCACTACAGCTGCAGCTCTGAAAATGTTTGTCAACGAGGTAGGAAGATTCAGTCTGATGTCTACATTACTTCCTTGCAAATGCTGACGCCGACTCCTTTTCACCACTTTCTGTCTTGAGGAAAAAGTGAATTGCAGGTCCGTGTGTTAGAGCCTGAACTAAATGAAAGCTCCTTCTCCCAGCGGCCCTACTCATTTGCTCCAGGGTGGAACAAATTATTTTCTGCTGGCATTTGCTGCCACCTAATGATACAGAAAGCACGCCTTTCAACGGCAGGGTGCAGAGTCTATCTCAAATCAAAGCCAAAGAGAAGGGGGAGGGCTTGAAACCCAATTAGCTGAACTGCTGTGTTTTGCTCTGGGATAATACACCACATGGCAAGTCATGGTTATGGACTCGACTTCTGACTGACCCTGAGAAAAACAGCTGTGGAAAACAGCTATGATGGCACAAAGACATTTCACTTGAACAGAATATGGCCAGTAGTTAGTTATTGCTCTTTCTCCATCACAGTATTTCCCAGAGCTAACCAGATGGTACAAAATTAGTATATTACCAGTTTTTATAGTGATAAATACTAAGCAGCCTAGAGCAAGGGTAGCTGTTTGTATGTCCATATGAAAGAGAAAAGGATACAGACCGGTGCAGTACAGTGGTACCTCGGGTTACATACACTTCAGGTTACATACACTTCAGGTTACAGACTCTGCTAACCCAGAAATAGTGCTTCAGGTTAAGAACTTTGCTTCAGGATGAGAACAGAAATCGTGCTCTGGCAGCGCAGCAGCAGCGGGAGGCCCCATTAGCTAAAGTGGTGCTTCAGGTTAAGAACAATTTCAGGTTAAGAACGGACCTCAGGAACGAATTACGTACTTAACCCGAGGTACCACTGTAATCTGAAAAAGCAGGATAATGCAAGGGACTTTTTACTGCCCATAGTTCCTTTAGAAGGGCAGGACTCATACTATACTATACTATACTATACTATACTATACTATACTATACTATACTATACTATACTATACACTTGTTGATATATTATTATCAATACATGATCTTGATATTGGTTACCGTTTGAATTATCAGTACAATGCAAAGAGGGAGGTTTATGGCAAGGTCACCAACTTCTTTATTCATAGCAACTATTCTTCAACTAGTGGACAGGGAGCCAGAGTGGTTAATCAAGGCCTGTATGAAAGCAAAAGCATCTAACGATAAGGGGTGCTTGGTTATCAGAGCGCATGTGCTCAGGGGTGGCAGTAGATACAGGTACATTTTTGTGTTGCCTACATTTGATTTGATTGATCATAGATCCATGAAATTGTCTAATCCGCTTTAAAAGTTGGTGGCCAATACTGCCTCCTGGAGGAGCAAATCCATAGTTTAGCTTCAGTACCTTCTTCATGTCCTGAATCTTTCAGAGTTGGATGTCCTACTGTGATGATATAGAGGGAACCACTTTTCTCAAATCACTTTCTTCAAGTCGTGTATAATTTTATACACTTCTCTTATGCCACCTCCTACTCACCTATTCTCTAATCTGAAAAACTCCAAATGTTGTAAACTTTCCTTATTGGGGAGTTTCTGCATCCCTTGGCTCATCCTGGCTGTCCTTTTCTGAACCTTTTCCAGTTCGATAATATCCCGTTTTAAGTGAGGCAACCAGAACTGTATGCTAAACTTCACTGAATGTGCCATCTACACTTGCTGTCTTTGTCCCCACGCTTGCTTAAATGAAAGCATCTTTCAGCCCAAATCCTATACCGATTTACTCAAAAGTAACTCCCACTAAACTTTGTGTATTCTAGCTGGCATCACAACCAGGTTATTCCATAGCATGCATAGCCATTCACATTGGTTTGGCTGCCATCCCATGATCTTTCATATTCTTCCTTCTGCCTGTGCGTGCCTTTTTTATGACTCAGTGAAGTGCCAGGATTCATGATGGTGGTGAGTGACTAGAGAGCAGAACTAAAGCCCACATCAACAGCGAGAGCCCAAGTTAGAGCTGCCCCTTGGGGGTGTCTGTGTGAATATTTGTAGCCTGCTCTTTTGAGCATGGCTTGCCTCTAACTCTGCCTTCCTTGCATGCTACTCACCCGCTGGCGGAACACAGTAGAAAGTGATTCATCTATGAGCATCATAAGAGAACAGTGGAGCTTTCTTTTATTATTAAAATAAAAGATGGATTAACAAGAACATTCACTCCTCATTACGAAGCCGTGTGTTACTTAGATTAATGTTTGGGGGGGAACTGCCACGGACGCAGCACAATACAAGCTCATGAGTCATTTGCTGTCGACACCTCTTGAGGAAGAAGTTGATCATGTTAAGCTGCCCTGAGCAATTACACCCAAGTACTGTGGCCAATGCCTGCCCCAAAATGGATTCTATAAGTACACATTTTTTGTTATGTAAATAGCAGCTGCATGGAAGCTTGAACAAGTTCAGAACCATAAGGGCAGGCAGGGACAGCTTTCTGTGCCAAATGATCCCCCCTTAGCAGCTGCTATTTGCATTTGAATAGAAGTTCTCATTGGTGCCAGTGTAAGAAACCGGTTGGTGCTGATAGAATAGACGACTAAACCATCTCTGTCAGAACCAGATTCTGGACCAGCAACTGCACATTAGTGCCTTGGTATGTCATTGCTTTATATGCTATGGTAGTGAATGCTTGCATACTTAGGTAAAGGTAAAGGGACCCCTGACCATTAGGTCCAGTCGTGACCGACTCTGGGGTTGCGGCGCTCATCTCGCTTTATTGGCTGAGGGAGCCGGCATACAGCTTCCGAGTCATGTGGCCAGCATGACTAAGCCGCTTCTGGCGAACCAGAGCAGCACATGGAAACGCCGTTTACCTTCCCGACGGAGCGGTACCTATTTATCTACTTGCACTTTGTGCTTTTGAACTGCTAGGTTGGCAGGAGCAGGGACAGAGCAACGGGAGCTCACCCCGTTGCAGGGATTCGAACTGCCAACCTTCTGATCGGAAAGTCATACTTACTTGTCTGTAATATGGGACTCCTCAGTTTGAATTTGTTCAAATATAATTGTAAAGGCTGTGCTAATATACCCATCAGCTTGTGCATGGAAATTTCAGTCCTTCTGGTTGCTGCAAAACAGAGTGTCCCCCCCCCCCACACACACGGGTCAACTTTGACAGGAGGGCAGATCCACTCATCTATCAGTCACCTGACACCATCAGGACATCAAATGATTGACATATGGGTGGCCCTCTAGCCCCCAAAGGTTCCCCACTCCTGTTATATAGGTATAGTAACATAAACAAAGTATAATGCACCAAGCACAGTATGTTTACCCATTTTCTTTAATTTTTTAAAAAGGAGTAAGCAGACAAAATGTTGTGCTTCCTTGAATACCAAATAAAAACATTCTTTGTGTAAAACAGTACATAAATCTGGGTTCTTCTTTACTTATGAATAATACTGCATATATACTTCAGAAAAGGGCATTATTGTTTACTGCTGCATATCAAAAGAAATAATCACAATATCATTGTTGTTTATCTTCATATTCTTTTCCAGGAAAGAAAAATAACAACAGAACTAGTCAGGAATTTCAACCCTTCCCCAACACTTTAAAATAAAAAATAAAAGCACAAGTGTTAAATGGGTCAAGTTTTAAATGTGCACATTTACAAGCACAGCGAATTAGAAACACTGCTTTAGACCATGCCAAACCACATGTATGTGTATAAAGCTATTAGTGAAGTAGTTCATAGCAGCAGAGTAGGAATCATATTCCATAAATCGTACCTGTTGGGATGGTTGGATGAAAACATTCCACATGTAACATTCCATATCCATGAACCATCTTCTCCCATCCACACCTATTTGGAAGTGGGAGTTACCTCTATATAGGGTTTTGGCCGAAAGATGCTTTAATTTAAATGAGTGTTGGGACTACCTCAAATTATTTGGACTATGGCTGGCTGATGTGGCAGTAATAAACACAAGAATTGAAACATATCATTGCAAACTTTGGGAAATTCTTATATGTGAACAGTTCCGGTGAAGATGATCACTTAAAAATATTTATTGTAGGCATCCAATACTTACAAATTGCAGAGATATATTTCTCCAAGATTCACTTGAAGACCATCCCTGTGTTTGCAGAGCATTTGAGCAAATGTGTGGACTCCCGGAGAAGAGACCACAATCACTTTGCTCCTCTTTGGTTGTTTTGCTGCTGCACTGAACTAAGCCGTGGTTTGGTTTAGCATGTTTAAATCCAGGTTCATGTTTTACCTCTTCCAGACAAACCACACACTGCAAACAATAGGTCAAACATTGGTTACATCTCATGGTTTGTCTGGAGAGAGCTAAACAACGAGGCCAGGTTAGGTTGCAGTGCAGCAGCAAAACGATTTTTTAATCGAGTGAATAAAATAAGTTCAGAAATGAAGAATAGTCACCTTCCAAATTAACAGCTTGATTTTCTTTTGACTCATTAATTCTAGAACTTGAAAAGGTCAGTTCATTGATTTAAGCAGTGGATAGTTGTCCAACCAAAATGTGTAAATAATAAAAAATACCAATAATAATATTTTGTTACTAATTATTATGGTCAGGAGATTCAAGAAGAGCAAATAAAGTATATGGTTTTCTTTCTCATTTCTTTCTGAACCTATAACACCTATGGAAGGAAGAAATGAAACTGCAAAGGTGCAGTTAAGGGGTTATTTGAACCACTAGTTATAATTAGTTCAATAAGGTTGACAGGTGAGATGGATGACATACAGCATCTTTGAATATGGACCACTGAGGTCAATGAAACTTACTCTCAGGAAAATATATATAGGATTATAGCCTAAAAGTAGATGGGTTTTGGTCTCTGTGTTGCTCCCCATTATGCACTTCTGAAGAACTTGTTCCTCGTAAAGTAATACACATTATGGTTGTTCTTTATAGTGGCATGCTATTTTAAGGTTGTTACCAGAAATAGTATGAAAACTGGTGCTTTAGCTATACAGTATACAGATATGCATGGTGGAATGTGCCATAAATATTGAAGTAAATTCACTGCAAAAAGCTACTTTGAGTCTAGTAGCCTAGCTGAGAGACCCTATGGATTGGCCAGTCCATTAAACAACATAATTGATGACTCTCAACTTTGTACAACATTCACTCCTGAATTCTAAGTCCATTTTATTTGTATTCAGGTGCAAGTTAAAATCACATTACCTATATTTCCCATTTGTAAAACAGGCTAGATACGTATTCTATGCTGAAATGTGTATCAGTTTCAGAAATACTTAAGACAAAGGCATTCTGCCTATGGTGGAAGATTTATGTTATCATGGATACCTGTCCAGGAGTACTCGGAATGTGTCAATATAGCTTACTTATCATAAAAAATGGTTTTAATCTACTTGCCCTGTTAGACCCACAATCATGCTGATTGACTGGTAGCTGGGTGCATTTTTCCATAAAGCGTTTAAGGCATGCATGCTTATGGATGGATTTGAGATTCTAATCTATTTTTAGTAAGTATGAATAGTGGGCCCAGGTGGCAGCTATTATAGATATAACAACAAGGAGTACAGTGATATATTAAAATGTCATATAAATGTTTTGTATTGTCCCTATCACATTCATCAGTGTTTTTAAGAACATCTGCTTACTTTCAGTAGCTTTTAAAAAGTCCTTATGGATACCAAAGCCTGACTCCATCATCTCCTGCTGTCCAATTACCTCACTTTCAACGTCACATGCAGAATATCATGCACAAATTCATACACATTTCGCTGTGAAGACATGTAAATATCCAAATGGTGAGACATTTTATGCAGTCACTGGGGTCAAGCAAAGAGAGATAAAATGTGGAAGTTTTTTTTAAATCCTGTGATACAGCACCTGTGAATTCAAACTCTATTAAGGTCACAGCTATATTAATAGCTCTTTTATATATAAAAATAATTTTTAAAGTGAGCTCAGTAAAAAATAACTTCTACAAATGTCGTTAGCAGGTCAGGGGAAGCAGGATATTGAGATGTAGTTTTCCCATTTTGCTCCAAAATTAGGAGGTGTTGCCTTCCCTGCTTTACAAGTCAAAGACATGATCCACTACGTCTGGACATCCACAGAACATCTACAAGAGTGGCCAAGAGCCTTTCAGAACCACATTGGCCACCACAGAACCACATTGGCCACCACAAACTTGCTGGTTCATGCATGTTTCTGACAGCTGACAGTTGCAGTGGCAGCTTGTGGCACAATAGAACTGGGGAAATCACAAGGCATAGAGAACATGAAGATATTGGGGGCAGTGGTGGAGGAGTGGGGTACACTGGCAGATGAAGGTAAGTAGTGGGAACTGAGCCAGAGGGTTGTGTGTGTGAAAAACAGAGAATGAGAATGAATTGAGGATGAGTCAGGTACATGCTTGTGTATCTGTGTGAATGAAAGAAAAAGGGTCTACCTGCCCACTTTTGATGTTGGCTTTGCCCATTGCCAGTATGCAGTTCCCATTCACCTTCTTCCAAGGAAATAAGGGCCTCAACTTTAAAAAGGTTGCCCACCCTGATGGAAGGACTGCCGGGGTTTGAGTCTAGTGACATTTGGCAAACTCATTCACTGGACTGGGCCCAAATTCAGAAACAGAGCTACACATCCAAAGACAATTCCCTTAGATATTAATAGGAGGACATTGTAATCCCCTTTATATACATACAGTAGAAGCTGAAATGGTCTGAGATGCTCACAAATTAGAATGTGTATAGCTATACAACACCATACCTTTTTTCTTTTTTTAAAAAAACCAAAAGTATAAAAGTTTTACAACACATTATACAGGTCCTTCTAGGATCTATAAAACACTTACTGAAATCACCATATTACAAGGCATCACTAACAATTCTATTTCATTTTATATATATATATATTTATATTTATATATAATCGTTACTTATATAATAATTAAAAAAATCACTTTTAAACAAGTATACAAGTTCACTTTAAAATTAACTTGTTAATAAAGTTGTGCAAAACAAGCTGGCCTCTATAATTAAGTGAAGTATTTAATTTATTTATTTACTTATTTATTTATACAAAAAACAACAACAACAACAGAAGAAAGTTCTTTCAGAAGTGCGTCTCTTTTTCTGTGATGGCTGAAATGTTGCCATCACCTTTCAGTTTGGCATCGCAGTCATTTACTGTAGCAGCATATGCACCTGCTCCACATTTTCCTCTCATCTTCAGGTCTGGGCTGGCCACGATCAACTTTCTAAATCTCTGGGGGCAGGGAATGAAGAAAATTGAAGGCATTAGCCATTTCTGTGACCTGGTCACAAGCACACTCCATCCAGATCAGGGGCTTGGAACCTCCAGTCCTCTCTATCTAGCTCTAAGGACTCTTCCAAGCACTGGCCACCAAATATGATATAGATCACCTGGCTTTACTTTACACCTCTAACAATTACTTGGTACACTTTTATATATCTTGGAGAGCTTCCAAGGGGTTATATACCATCGATGTTGCATTTTAAGAAAGTTCTCTCTTAAAGAATAACAAGCTGTAAATTTCCAACTTGTTTTCCACAGATTTTCCCACTGTTTCATTGTTATTGTATGCCCAGAGTCTTGTGACCATTTAACCATAGCTGCAGTGACCTCTTCCTCCTTGACTTCTCAGTCAAGGAGGAGTCGGTATGCTTTGGAGAGTGTTTTAGAGTTGGAATTCACTAGGTCAGATTCAAATCTAGAAATCTCTGTGGCAAAACCTTTTTGTTTATCTATTTTGAATGTCTCATATAATTGATGGTATTGAAACCAATCTGTTATGTACTCCCTCATTTCCTCAAAGCTTTTTAACTTAAATTTATTAGCTTCTTCCTTTAGGAGTAATTTTTATGATGGCCATGTTCCCTGGGTATTTTTTCTCTTTACTGCACAGGCCTCCATCGGGAAATTTTGGGTTCTAGCAAGTTTTTATATTTCTCCCACACAACAAACAAACATCTATTGTTCCAAATAGATGACATTTATTCCTTTACAGAGATTTTCGCCAGTTCTGATTTCTTGAATTAGTTTTTTCATAAACTTCCAGGATACCTGGTCAAATGCCTTTTCAGCATCCACCAACATAATAGCGGCTGGTTTATCAATTTTATAATCGAGATATTCTAAGACATTTACACGGGTTAGTCTGCATATGGCGCCCTGGGAGGAAACCTGTTTGATCTTTATGGATTATTTCTTTTATAACTGTTTTAAGCCTGTTTGCAATAATGTCTGCAAATATCTTGTAGTCATTATTTAGCAGGGCAGTAGGTCTGTAGTTCACCATGCTTAAAGGGTCGGATCCTTGTTTATGAATAAGGGTAATGAAACTTTCTTTCCACGAGCTCGGTAGTATTCCATTTTGTAGAATGTCATTCATTGTATCTTTCATAGGGAGAAACTGTGGGATGAAAGAATCAGGCGCAGTCAAACACATAATTGCTAGAGTAGACATGAAGGTTGTCTCAGTCCTCTAGCTGGAACTTCCTGCTTTCCAGGACTGAGACGAAACTTCCTATGTGTAACTTGAGATGGGTGTGGCCTCTCCTGAAGTAGAAAGAACCAGAATCGCAGGCTGGCGACCATCTTGTCTCTTCTTGTCTCTATTGATGCCATCTTAACAACAGCACTAAGATGCACCCTTGGCTCCAGGCCAAGAGAAGAAAAGGGGGGCTTTCTCCCATAAGGAGATAGTCACCACATTTAAACTATGTTCTAACCTTTTAAGTCTGCCTTCTGGGAACCTTTGTGTGAACAGATGATTACTTGTGAATAAATGTTTTATACTTTACAGAAGACCGTGTAGCGTCTTATTTTAGGAGGGATTAAATGGGGAAAATACCAGGAAATATTTACAGAGACTAACGAGTCTAAGCAAGCTATCTGCTGTGCATGTGTTTAAAAGAAAAAGGGGAACGTTAACTCTGCTGATTTTGTTGAACTTGAAGACAAGTTGGGACATTCCCACAGAAACAGTGATTGTTCTAATTTTTTATAATAAATAGCCGGTATACCGTCCGGACCCGGTGTTTTCCTGATTTTCGATCTTTGCATTGCTTGTTGCACCTCCATAGCAGTTACTGGCGAATTCAATGTGGCGATTTTCTCCTTGGGAATTATCAGCAGATTACTTTTGTTTAAGTATTCAATTATTTTCTCAATTTTCTCTGATCATTCTTTGTATAACTCTTTGTAGAAATTAGTGAAGATCTTACTAATTTCTTTCGGGTCTTGAATCCAGGTCTCATCTATTTTAATTCTGTTGATGATTCTTTCATCCTGTTTCTTTTTCAGTTCCCAGGCTAGAAGTCTACCTGGTTTGTTCGCAGATTCAAAGCTGCTATGTTTTAACCATTTGATCTTCCATTCTATTTCGTCATTTATAATCATCAAAAATTGTGTATGTAGGATTTTTATATTTTGCTTTATTATTTCATCCTCTGGTTTTTGAAATAATTTCTTTTCAATATCTCTGATTTCCTCCCATACTTCCATTTTCTTCTTCTCCTTTATTTTCCTTTGGTAAGCTCTTTGTTGGATGAAGAAGCCTCTTATAACCACTTTACTCGCATCCCAGACCATTTTTATATCCGTCCCTTGATTTAAGTTAAATTTAAAGTATTCTTCTAAAATTTGATTGGCCTTCTGCGCTGTCTTTTTGTCATTCAATATATTCTTGTTGAGCTGCCATCTTTTAGTTTTTTCTTCTCCTCCTTTAAACTTAATCCATACCGGGTTATGGTCTGAGATTGTTCTTGGGTGGATTTCAACTTTCTTAATATTACCTAATAAGTCTTTCGAGGCCCAAATTGCATCTATTCTTCCAGCCCACTTGTAAGGATCCGAGTAATGCGTAAATTCTTTATCTATTGGGTGTTTAAACCTTCCGGTATCATTCAGATTCAGAAGGTCTATTGTCAGGGAACTGCCATCGGAAGGACAGGAGGTGGAAGGGCTCCCTGAGGTTGAGACAGACTTAGCAGCTGAAGAGGGAACCAGCAGGGGGAGAGGAGGGGCTCCAGGGGAAAGTGAGTCGGAGGGATGGCTCCGAGACACTTCCAGCAAAAACAGTGGGGAGGTTTCAAGACCTCCTATAGGGACACCCACTCCTCGCCGGAAACTGTCACGCCGAGAGTCCAGAAGACGTGTTTCCGTTAAGGAGCTTTTATGCTGGAAGAGATTCCGTAAGAGACCACTTTCGGATTCTGCTAGCGACTGACGGAGCCATGCTGGAGGGGCTCCGCCGTAGGCAGAGGTTTGAGGACTTGACCAAACTCTGAGGGACTTGCATTTTACGCACAAGCAGCTCATCATCCCATTACATCTATTAATTGAAAAAAGGAGCTTGGGAGTTTGTCTTGTCTTGTTCCTTTTTTTTTTTTTTTTTGCTGTTCTATCCATGCCCGGGTTCACTATTCCGTTAAAGTCACCTAATAAAATAAGTTTATCTCCAATATATTCTAGGACTTTTTCTTCCAAGAACTGATAGAATTCCGCTTGCAGCTTGCATGCAGGGGCGGGGGGGGGGGTGGGGAGCTTGTGTTAATAAGACAAAATACGCTCATCCAAACCAGAGTTGAACCTACCATTGTTATTTCTAATGTTTTAGTCACTGAACATCTGTGACAATGCAACCCACTGTTGTTTTCTTTTTCATAATTATTACTATGAAACTTCCCAGGATCACAGCCAAAGTGGATACGTGGATTGTTGACTACAGTTACATCACAGAAAGTGGTCTGGATGCATAGACATCAGCTTAGATTTCATAACTTCTGAATAGCTGGTTGTAAGCAAAATGTGCAGCATTCAGCTCAATATGCTCACTTACTCTATCAAGCAATAATAGTCTGACAACAGTCCTTACCTCTAAGATAGTTCCTTCTGTCTTCCACAATTTAATACAGATCCACAAAGGAATGCAAACCATGGAGGAGAGAGCCATCATCCACCCAATGCCATAACCCCAGTCTGGGTATATATAAACGTTGTTGTATTTCAAAGGCTTGTATTTCACCAGGAAAAAGATGAAGATTCCCTGAAATGGAGATGGTCATTTTATCCATTTTTGGAAACAACACATAGATATTTAGGAAACTTATTCACCCCAGTTCACTGAATTGCTACATTCAGCTTTCAAGACAGGTAGCAAGCAGGCAGGCAGGCAGGCAGGCTTCCTTCCTTCCTTCCACTGGAACTTCCTTTCACATTTAATCTCAGTCTTCATTTAAGGACCATAGAAATTGCCCCCCCCCATTTGACAGCAGGTTATAGCTGTGCTGAAGAGACTCATGGGAGAGGATCTGTTTTGTGGCTTGAAAACACTTCTGCACACACAAGAGGGGGTCATGATTCTCTCATGCCCTACCAGCTGTATCACCCCCAAATGCATCACATTGTGTATCACTTTTGAAAAATTGCACCAAGAATGGGAACCCCCTGTGTCGTTCGTACGGAGCCCCCGGTCGTCTCATGGATTATTGACCCGTACACCACTAACCCACTGCCACCAACCAGGTCCTCCCCGGTAAATCACTTAGTCTCAGTCTGGTTCTTAAGCTAACAGTGAAGATTGTAGTTTATTGCAAACACAAATAAACTTAGTCTTCTTTTATTCTGTCTCTAACTCTTCAACCTCCCCTCACACAAGAACCAACTGCACTAACTGTCTCCCTATTTCCATCTGTCTGCCAACTGCTTTCCCAACTGCCTTTTCCCAACTAACTCGGGCTAAGCCCTTTTATAAACAGGTAGGCTCCACCTCTGGCTTTTCTATTGGTCTACTTATTAACTCTTTCTCTCCCCCTGTACATTTTCAAATGAACGGGCAAACGCCACCACCCTCTCCACAAAAGCCCCAGGGTGTGTGAGGACTACTACACATAAGCCTTTGGATTCCAGCCCTTAATTTGTGTTCAGTTCCGTTCAGTTTCACGGTAAGTAACAACATAGTAGCATACAATTGCTCCAATAATACCTACACATGAATAAACACCTTGAGTGCACATGAAACCACTATGGTGTGGGAACAGAAATATGTGAACACATAAAAAGAAGTTGTCATACCTCATCATATTGTAGGGGGGTGGGGGAAGAGGAAGAAAAGAAAAAGTAGGGGCTACTGAAGTCTAAAACCAATAGCAAAGAAATACCTAAATAATTTAAAATAATGAAATAAACAACATCTGCTTGAAAATTAAATAAGTTTTTAAATCACCTTTTTATTTAATTTATGAGGAATTGTTGCTTTTTTTTACTGATACCAGGAAGTTAAACTATTTTGCATTTTGGAGGTGTACTTCCTGTTCCAACACATATGTGTGGCTTCATGATTATGCTCTATTTCTGCAAAATTATTTCCATAAAGTCTTTGGGAAAAGGTTCTGCCAAGGACCTTACAGATTGCTCTATCATTTTATCACACTTTCATTACTTACAGCGCAAATGCCAGGAGTGAGTAACATCCAACACCATTTAAATAATGCCAGTGGTCTGTACCCAATCATATCTTCAATGTTGTCATAAAAACGATTGCTTCCTGAATAAAGCCAATATAAAAATTAATAGAAAATGAATATAGGTCACCAGGGCTTATGTTACTGGAGTGATGTAGCTTCATTACAATTTATGCTTTCATTCTTAGAATATTCCTTGCCTCTGCCATTGGCAAGGAAAGCCTGAAAACACAAGGTAAATGCAGTTGGTGGGAATGAGATTAAAATCTCTCCCCGCCCCCCATTTTCACAACCTCATTCACAACTAGCATATATAAGAAACGTTTTTTGGAGGGCCTGCTGAAAAATTGAAGCCCTCCTTTACCTTTAGTGGGGTCTGCAGAGATGATACAGCTGCTACCTGCCCAGCAGATGGAGACCTTTGGTTGACATGTTATTTCCACCAGAATTATTTACCCCTGGAATGATGCTATAGAATAACATAATGTCATTCTGAGAGAACTACTTGATGAAAAAATAGCAACCAGTATGGAGGCTGCCAAGTATTTACCCAAGAACTCCCCCAGAATGATGGTATGCCATCCAGCGGCACTGAGGTGGAAAGAAAACAGTGGCTGGAGTTTATAGACGCCAGGAAGAGATTTGATGCTGTCACTGCCACAGGCAGTGTCTAGCATACCTTTTTCCAAAAGCAAAACAAAAAGAATTGAAAGAGTTATCAAAGATAAAGGAGGGAATCTGAAAGTTTAAAAAAGTATTTTTCACCCTTTTATGATTCTTCTTTACATTCCAAAGTTGAATTTCTTCTGTGAAATTTCAGCTGAGCACTAATGGTTTTAGTATCCTCAGCGTTAAGAGGGAGAAGGAGGTAAAAACACAACACCTCTGCTAGGTGGCCATTCTGCCATCCTTGAAGAAGAGAAGTACGGTTCCATTGGTTTCATGGTTGTATCCAGTGGTTTCTCTCCACTGACAGAAGGAATGTAAGTTGATTTTCATAGATTCCTCCTTTCTTCTGCAACCCCTTCACCACCAATCATGCTGTCCCAAAGGTGCCCCAACCCTCTGTGGTAGATTTGGGAAGGACGCTGGGAATCAATTAAAGTCACCTCTTCCCGTTTCTGCTCTTGGAAGCTCCCACTGGATCAAAAAGCCTTCTGTCAACAAAGGGACACGGCTGGATACAAACCCAAATGGTTTGGCTGAATTTAACTGCGCAAACGGCATGTAGTACTAACATAAACCTTGGCATCCAGAGAAAGGCATGTAACACTACTCCACATATTACAATGGAGTAGAGGAAGAATGTGCAAGCTGTGTTTTTTCTAGCATAGCATAGAAAAAGGACTTGTGAAGATGAGATGTACAAGCTACAGGCATAAGAGCAGCAGATTTATCTCAGACTCACAACTTCCTTTTCATATGTTATATTAGATGCATAATTAGAGAAAGTACAACTTGTACGGACTCTTCTGGTACTACGAAATGAAGATTCACATGTGAAAAGGATCCACCAGAAGGGGAAATATATACAACTTGCAATATGAAAACAAGACTGTGAAAAAGACTGATCCTTGAAATCCACAGGATGATATATGGCAAGGTAGGCTATGGAAAACACGGTAAGGCTCATTCTGAAAATGCATGATGTGATTTCAGAATTAGCCCCAATGTTGCAAGAATCGCTGACTTACCGTAAAACCAGCCAATGCAGACACATTCAAATATAGCAACAAAAAGAAGGCACATTCCACTGGCTGCGTAGGAATCAAACAACTGGAAAACATACATTCCACCCTGGAAGATAAACAGTTAAAAACAGGAAAAGTTGAGTGCTGATAACACCTTACAGCTGAAATAAGGTTTCCCTCCACTTGGGAAATTTCTGAACCAGCTGATATTTTGGACTACAGCAACTATCAGTCCCAGGTGGCAAAGCCAATGGCCAAGGGTGGTGGATGTTGTAGTTGAAAACACCTGGATTGCACCAAGTTGGTGAAGGAGACATAAATTATGCCTGCTTGCTTAGGTTTAAGGGTCAAATGAGATGCAATGTTAAATGCATGCTTGTATTTATGGGACCATTAAAAGCAAACATCATCTGTTTGAGGCGTGACTGATCATTCTCAACGGAGGAGGGATTTAATTATTTCCTCCCTGGTTCCTTTCCTCAGGACTGGAGCAGGAAATAAAAGAGTTTTAAAAGCGCTCCATGCCTGTTGTGATCTTGAGAATTATTACTCCACCACACAAAATGTACTATTAAAGAAAACCATGGTTTGTTGTTGTTTTTTAAGAAACCCTGCGTGTTTGTTTTGTCCTTTGGCAATCCTTTGCTTTGCTATGTTTTATACCATGTTCTTCCCTCCTTTTATTTTATTTAAGAATTGTATTGCCAGAAGGGTAACAATATTCAACCCAAGAAACTTCCCACATTGCTTTTTGGAAACAGGCCCTTTGTCCATGTTAGAAGGCGAATGAAACTGTGAGAGAGACAAAAATCTCCTGTCTTAAAGAAGTTCTTCCTCACACCTTGTGCTTATTTTTGGAGCATACACTTGATAGTGATGCTATTTGTCCTTGGCAGCAGGTTGAGACACAACGTGAAATATAAATTCTCCTTCTAAACACCCAGGAATTTTAAGGCAATATCTGTTTCATAAAAAGTCTTACACTGTATTAGCCCATAAGCAGTGTGCATTTCCATACACATAGTAAACATCTGGAGTGGAGGGGGGGACAGGCGAAGATGTCTTATACTTTAATTTATGATGACTAAGCATTGCTCTTTCGAGATGTGTTTCCAACTGCATATATTCGGGTTTAAGTTGCTAATCACTGAAAACACTTTTAGTCTCTGAAGTACATTATATGAATATTCAGATTTGTTCAGTTGTGTGTTGCATGAGCAAGTACAAAACCACAGACAGTATTCTGGGTAAATGGCATCTTTCAGGGTGCATGGAACAGTTTCATGAAAGGGTAAGATATGAATGTAACTTGTAAGAACATAAGAAGAGCCTTCTGGATCCAGCCAATTGGCCATCTAGTCCATAATCCTGTTCTCCCAGTGGCCAACAGATACTTGAGAACAAGAACATTATCTTCTTCTGTGGTTTCCAGCAATTGGTATTCAGAAGCATACTGCCTCCGAACATGGAGGCAGAGTAATCTATGCTCCTTTAGCTGATCAAAATCTTAATCTATGTGCTAGTCCTATTGTGTCGCCGACACCAGTATCTTTCTTATAATAACAGCAAGTAAGAAAACTTTAGATATTATCATATGAGTGCATATGGTGAGGGTCTTGGGAATACAAAGCTTCCAAGTAAAAAGTTAATCTTCAACAGTCAGCCCAAGTCAGAAATATCGAGTGGGACACTAGCCATTTATCTCCTCAGCTAATTATTGAGGCTGTCTTGAGAGCTGGCCTAGATCCAGGTTTTGCAGTGGCAAACTGAGACTGAAATTCATTGCACAACAAACCCTCTTCAATATTGCTTTCAAGTGCTCCCAAGGAATCAAGTCCTCTTGAACAGGAGTGAATTTCTGCACCCTACGCCAAGCTCCTTGGAACGTTTTGGAAAGAGCTCTAAAGAAATTATTTACATGATAGAATGTTGCACAACAGTGCCATTTGGTGGCACATGATGCACACTGCAACTTGATTTATACTGTGGAGTGCCTATTTCACAGCATACATTGCACTCTCCCCGGCAGCAGAAACAGCAGCAGCTGCCGTGCTGGGATTTGGAACAATTTGCTTCTCTTTTTCCTGCAGCCCATCAAAAACGGTTGGGTAAGCACGAAAGTACTGAAGTAACAATTGAATACTATGGGTCCATTCTACACAACAGAATAGGGAAAATGAATTAATCACCATGAAAAATAGCTTATTCCTTGATGCTTAGTCCAGCCTCAAGCAGGATTGCCAGCCCGAATCCAAACAAAAACAACTAGGAGCCTGACTCTGAAACTCTGAGAAGAGTAACAACTGTACATGGAAACAAGGTGGACTTGCTTGAAAAATACATAGAAAAGGAAGGAGAAAATTGACAACAAAGCTGGATTGTATTTCTATATGGCAATTGATGGAAAACAGCAACAGTGGTGAGAGGTTTATTGCTCTCCTTCCTGGCTTCCCTTGGGCAACTCTTTGGCCACTGTGGACTCAGTGCTGGAATGGATAGGCCTTTGGTATAAACTAGCTGTGTCGATGCACACTTCAGAGTGCTTATGCTTGTGTGGGCAATAATGTGCTCAAAAGATTGAAACTAAATGCAAAACATATTGGGGTGGTTGAAAAATGTCTATTCTACAAAGGGAAGCAGTCCTCCTATTTGCAGAAGGGACTCAGTGGTCTCCCTTCAGCAAGAGTGAACTTTGACCAGAAGGTCAACTCATATGTATATGGTTATAGTAAACGTAAAGGGACCCCTGACCATTAGGTCCAGTCGTGGCCAACTCTGGGGTTGCGGCGCTCATCTCGCTTTATTGGTCGAGGGAGCCGGCGTACAGCATGACCTGTGGCCAGCATGACCAAGCCGCTTCTGGCAAACCAGAGCAGTGCACGGAAACACCGTTTACCTTCCCGCCAGAGCGGTACCTATTTATCTACTTGCACTTTCAAACTGCTAGGTTGGCAGGAGCAGGGACCGAGCAATGGGAGCTCACCCTGTCATGGGGATTCGAACCACCGACCTTCTGATCGGCAAGCCCTAGGCTCTGTGGTTTAACCCACAGCGCCTCCCGCGTCCCACCTATATGGTTATACACCTCTCTATTTTTTTATTATTATTGTTGAAAGGCAAAGGTTGGAAAGCTTGGTATTCAATTTTAAATGGACATTCAACAACCTCATTTTTTTTGTTCTAGTGAAATACTATTGTCTCCCAAATTAATAATTAGCCTAATAATAATATCCAATACAGTATGCTGTGGTGTTTTAAATGTTAACATCCTGAAGTACAAATTCAGGATGTTGTTATGTAGGAAACTAGTCATTAAGAGTAGATAATAGATATCTATAGCACAATTACTTGATCATATGTACAGAAAACCCTTGCAAGATGGTGATTAATGATCTGTTTTCTTCTAACAGCCTCAGGTAATGTCAATGCATGTAATGAATCTTAAATGTATACATTTGTTTATTTACATCTTACTAGTTAGGCAGGGAAGGATCTTTACTGATGCTAGATCCTGTAGAGAAAATGTCTGCCCTCAACTCCCTACTCTGAGCAATTCCATCTTTAGTACATGCCTTAGCTTCTCCAAACCCTGTTTATTCATCCATTATTATAAATATATTCTACCCTACAATGCAACTGTCACTGTATTGTAAAAATACAATAAAATATCATGCCATTTAAAGTCACATATAAAGAAACCTAAAAGGAGCAGATATATAAAATAGCACAATAATTAAAAAGAAAGAAAGAAACAGTTCAGCCAGATTGGAACAATAAATAATAGTGCGCTGAACATTTTGCAGGGTTGAATACAAAGTCACGCTATAGCAAGCTTTCTGTGTATGCAAGCATATCCACTTCCCAATGGAATGATCCCCCTCCCACTGTGTGTTGTTTTGGGGGTTCTCCCAACACTCCCAGAGCCAATTTCAGGGAGTTTGCTGGGGGAGGGGGGGAAAGCCTCATTGCATAAACAGTAGCCCTTGCACAAGGCTTCCACTGATGGGGTTCATTAGGTGAATTCCACCAACTATTTTAATTTTCAGCAACTTAAGAGATGGTGTGGGGTGAAGCAGATGTTTAGGAAGAGGCCAGGGAGTGTGAGAATTTCAGAGACTATTCTCAGCAAGAAAGGCAACATGTGCTATTCTTACCTTATACACTATAAAGAGGTGTCTGTGTGAAATATACTCGGAGTCGAGCATGGATTTCATGCTCTTTATTCAGCTCATAGTAGTGAGGAATGAAGGTTCCCCCCAAATATCTGCTTTATATACATTATTTACACAATGGGTCGCACGTGATTGGCTAATTCTGCGATTCTCCTGTAGGCCAATCAGGTTGTGGATTCACTTCCACCTGGAGCTGGATTGGGTGGCTCCGGCGGACCAATCATACTGCTGCATTGTTCTAGGACCAATCAGACTGCTGCATTCTGGCCCCTATTGTTCTAGGACTAATCAGACTGCTGCTTTTTGGATCCTATTCAACTCAGTACATAACACTGTGACATGTTTAGAACACACTGTGCACACTTGCAGTGGAGCAGAGCTCTTTACAAACACAGCATCTCTCCTCACAGCACTTCCTACAGTTTCCAAGTGACCATGCGGACATTCTAGGAATTCCTGTGAGGCTGCCAGCCTATATGTGAAGAGTCCTGCATTGCTGCAAGAGCACCAAGCCACTCAGCTCTTTATTTCAAACTAGACTAACAATATACCTTAGAGCCAAAAGCAACAGATGACCATGTTCAATTGCCATATATCAGATAGGGTGATGTGTGAAGTAAAAGGCTCCCTTCGCTATGATACAATAATGTTTGTTCCCATATGCCCTCCAGATGCGACTGCAGTTCCTTTGAGGATTTTTTAATCTTTCCAAGTATGTTGTATTTTGTCACAGAACACATTTGATCAATATTTTGTTGCTCCAGGTGTCTATCAATCCTCAAATAGTTTTGCTTAGAATTTCTAGGGCTGTGGTCACATTGCTATTTACTGCAGTTCCAGCGCACTCCCACTGCTAGTTTTCAAAGCTGGGCTCACAAGATGTTAGCCACAACCCACCTGTGTCCTGTAGCTCTTTGATGTGTTTTGCTTGGAACCAACTTCCATCTGATTTGAAAAGGGAAGCCATGGCTCCACTGTGCTCTAATTCAGGTGGCTTTTGCGTGTGTGCACATGATGACATGTGCGCAGATCAAAGTTCCACTCAGCATGGGGAAAAATATCACTTAGTGTTTCAAGCCACTAGTGCAAACATAGCCTAAGTTTAAGAAAGAATGGAAACAATTTTCTTCCCCCACCATTACAAATACAAATAAATATATCTTACCTCCGTTAACATGATTAGTCCAAGGAAGAATGATACAATCGAAAGAGCGAGAATCAACAGCTCTCGTCTGTATCCCCTCCGGAAAACCTTTGGGTACATATCTACCACGGCTGTCACGAGACTTTCAACACACACAAACTGGACAAAGCAAATGCAGAAGGAAAAAAATGACATATAGAGTAAATGATCTACAGTACCAGTTCCTCAGCACATGTCAGTGCACTATATGCTTTAATGTTTGTTTGTTTTTTTTTGCATTATTTATAGCCCGTTCCTATATAGAGCTTTAAATATCACCACTAAAGATAGCACCTAACTTGCCATACTTGCTCCCACCTGATAAGAGCTCTCTGAATGCCTTTCTTGCATGATGGCATTTCCTCCACGCTGATCACAGGGAAAGTACTGCAACAGGCACTAGGCACTACATTAAATGACAACCCTGTGACATGAGTAACCTGAGGTAGGTAGGTTGGTTGGTTTAGTTAGTTGGTTTAGTTAGTTAGTGGGTTGAACTAGATGACCCTTGGGGTAACTTCAAACTCTGTAGTGCTATGAGTCTATCAGTGCTCAGGAGCTATCAGATAGCTGGGATAGCTCAGTTGGTAGAGCATGAGACTCTTAATCTAAGGGTCAAGGGTTTGAGCCCCATGTTGGACGAAAGATTCCTGCATTGCAGGGGGTTGGACTAGACGAACCCTTGTGGAACCTTCCAACTCTACAACTCTATGATTTCAGTTGATATTTCTCATGTCTAATCCAATACTTCCTGAACCATGCTGCTAGCCTGCTCTCGTCTTAAATGTATTTTCTGCTCTTTAGTTCATCGCCCCAGTCTTGCTAGAACCCATCCATATGAGTGTCTCTAAAGTGAGTGTGTAAGACTGTATAAGAATGGGTTCTGTACTTTAGGATTTCCAACCTTATGCAGCAGGGCTGTGTGCATGTGATTCCCCAAAACAGCTGCATTCCAACCAACTAGCTGTTTTGGATAAGAGCTAGATGCAGTCCCCACCACTTTAGCTTTTAAAGAAGGGCTCTGCATACTCATGTCCAGTATAAGATTGGGGCTCATAACTTTTAATCCCTTTCTTATAACCTTGCTTCTCACTCACCTGTGGGCGACAGATTAAAATAATAAAGTAAAATGAAGTACAGTGAAGCAAGAATTCAGCAATATTAAGATGGCAATTTAAATTAGTTTTAAATTTAATTTAAAGTTACAGCTTGATTTAAATTCAGATCTCAGCTTAAGTTACACCTGGAAAGGATGTTCTAAAATGTCATCTTTGATCCATACCTGACTATCTAAACCAAGGAATATCAGCATCATGAAAAACAAAGTTGCCCATAACGGAGAAAGAGGCATCATTGTTACAGCTTTTGGGTAAGCAATGAAAGCAAGCCCAGGTCCTGAAAAAAAAGAAAAGAAATTAAATAGGAATTGTTTATATGGTGGTCTTGCACAGTGGGGTGTGATATAAATTCAACAAATAATACATAATGATTAAAGTACACAATATCACTAGTATATCAAATACACTTTAACATAATAATAAATGTATACTTTTAGTACTTACCTGATTCTGCAACTTCTGCTATGGGCACTCCCTGCTCATATGCCATAAAGCCAAGGACAGAAAAGATGGCAAAGCCAGCCACAAAGCTTGTCCCACTGTTCAAGCAACAGAGCATAATGCAGTCTCTGTGGAAGAAAGAGCAATTCGCTTGTTCTCAGTGTGTGGCTTTGCTTCACATATTTTTGGGCGGCTACAACAGCTTTGAAATTTGGTACATATGTAGATCAAGACACCACTTTTCAGAAAAATCAGACAATGAAACAAGTGTTTTGGTCACCGTAGAGCAGCAATAGTGTTCCTTCCCCTCTGCAGAGGTTTTATTATGGTTTAATCTTAAATAAAGTGGCCCTAGTTCAACCCAACCTCTGTGCCTGTCTCTTTATTTGGCCATCAAGTTGCGATTGGTGGACTTTGCCAATAGGCAGGGCTTCCTCACTGCTTCCAATTCTCCACTCAGTATCTAGTAAGACAACTTCCAAATCACTCCTTTGTGGATCTGCAATTATTAGCTTCATGGGCCTCAACATAGCTGACTGCATAGTGATGCAGATATGCTTCAAGGTCAACAGAGAAAACTCTTAACCTTAGAAGAAGTGACACAAACCCTTCAAAGATAATATACTATAAATGCAACAGCGGTACATTTTAGTATTTGCAATCAATATTTATGTGCAGGGCTGTTGCCTGAAGCAGGTTTAGAGTCAGCTTTGTTTCCAGTGACACAGGTAAGCAATTTTTTTTATACTGATAAACAGAACAGGCCCAAGACATTTTGGCACCTGAGGCAAACCACAAAATGGCATTCCCCTCCCTGCCAGGGAAGAAGATGTGAGGGAAGATCTACATCAGGAACAAGGGAGGAATAAACATCTACATCAGGATCTGCTGCTCCTTTGGAACCTGCTGCCTGAGGCAGTTGTGATCCGGCCCTGCTGATAAACCATCTGTTTTACCAAATCCTGCATATGATTCCATCACATCTTGATGGATGCTGTTTGAAAAGTGTGAGTAACTGTTTACAATACAATTTGTAATTTCACAGGAGTCAGTAAAAAAGGAAAAATGTAAACAAAACAGACTTGTGGCACCTTAAAAGTAACAGGTTTGTTTATTAGCCTTTAAGGTACCACAAGACATTGTTGTTCTTGCAACAGCTTAACAAAGCTACCTCTCTGGAATTTGTTAAGAAATGTGTTAACTTTGCCCAAGGCTCAGATAAGAAACGTTCTCTACTCTCATGATAAGACTACAATATTTGATGAATATTATGAGTTGGCATGACTTACAATGTCAGGCTCCTGCCTGACATTGTAAGTCATGCCAACTCATAATAGTTGGATCTACTACATAATACTGAATAGTTGGGTCTCCTACATAATATTGGTTTATCTTGTAATTTACTAAAATAAGTCCTGGCCTAAGGCATCATTTCTTAATGACTGAACTGATGTTGTTGTTGTTTAGTCGTTTAGTCGTGTCCGACTCTTTGTGACTCCATGGACCAGAGTACGCCAGGCACTGCTGTCTTCAACTGAACTGAATTTTAATGTGTAAAGAGGTTCATTTTAATGTGTAAAGAATCTTACATTTTTACAGACTGGCTGCATTAAAAAACATTATAATAAATACCACTGACTAGGGGGAAATGCTAGACTGTGCTTAAGATATATGTATCAGTTACAATAACTGTATGGCATCTGTTTAAACTGGATATTCCTCCCTTCCTATTTTGCATAATAAATAGACCAACAGACCAGCTGAATTTGTAGTTCAATAAACATGGTGAGTGAACAGGATAGTGGGACTTTGCAGCCTATGAATAAAAGTGACACTGACTTTATTTTTGCAGTATATTTCAATTTCCTTATAGCAGCTTAGCAGCATCCGATTTTCACAAAAACATCTTAAACTTCCCTACCAGAAACCTTAGTATGTTTTATGCAAATTTTGTTAGTGACTAGGAATTGGGATTTTAAAAAGGTAAAATTTGAAGGTAAAATAGTATCAGATGCATTATGAGTCTAATTAAAATTCATGAAAAAAATATTTGGTTTTTAATGTTCTCAAAATATCAGTTGATTCTCCATCTGAGGGAATATCTCAGCGGAGATTAAGAGTCTCATGGTCTGACAACTGAGCTATCCTAGGATAGAAATAAAATTCTCCTATGTGATACAAATCATTTTTTTTTTAAAAAAAGTCTGTATACACACACAATCTTATTAACAAAAATTAAAATTGTAATGTTTACCTAGGTAATGTGGTTTTTATGAAGAAAAGCTGTTATAAGTAAACAGACTAACTGGTCCCAGAATCAAATGAGTGATCAATCACTTAATAATATACCATAGTAGTCTTAAGAAAGAACAAGCAGATGATTATTTAGAATTATGAAAGATGAAACTAAGAGGTGAATTAAGGGCATGTATCGTGTGCTGGCTATACAGTTAAAGCGGATAAGCATTAAAGTTTACACTAGAGGGAGCCAATACACCACTTTCAAATTTCTTTATGAAATACAAGGCTATTGTCACATGGCGGTACCTAGATCTTATGGCTGCTGTGTTATAGCTTTTTAAAAGTGTTTATGAAATGGACACTACTCTTGTTCTATCCGTTACCTGCCATTTTAAAACACTCAGAAAATCAGCATTCTCCAAAGGGTATACTATGTAAATTTTTCATCCCCAAAATATGTTACCAGAACCACTAGTCATACCATGTAATTTAATGTACTGAAAGGTGATACCACACCTGCAGTGAATACTGACCAAATTCACAATTTTATACTAGTATGGCACCAATGCTAATGTACCACCATGTGGAATTCTAGATTAATCTTTGTCATAAAAAGGCGTTGGGCTGTTAGAATTCCTGCTCCATGTAGCCATATATTTTCTGAACAGCACAATCCTCTACATGTCTACTCAAAAATTAAGTCCCACCCTGTTCAGTGAGGCTTCCTCCCAGGTAAGTGTATATGACTGAAATCTAAGTACATGAAAAAATATTCACAAATGATAGAACTTGTGCTAGTTAATTTTTGTATAATGCATGCATCATACATGTGCCTAAAATACAGTTAATGTATTATCTATTCTATATTTATCTTTATAACTTTAATAAAGGAACATTAATTCTTCCTCCCAAATTACCGTTTTCAAAAAAAAAAATCAGTTCAAAAGGAAAGGGATCAAGTAATGCTAAGAACCCTTAAAATGTCATTGTGTGAAATCTGCTTTGGGAGTTCCTGCTTTGGGAGTTCCTCAAACAGTCATGTACATATTTGCCAGACTAGACCACTCAACAGAAAAAATAAACATGACTGTAATCGTGTATTACCTGTAGCAGTTGTTATTGTAGTTGTTGTAGCTCCCTAAGGCTGTCAAGCACCCCAGGCAGATGGCATAAGAGAAAAATATTTGTGTTCCAGCATCCACCCAGACCTGCAAACACAAAATATAGGAATAATTATAAAAAGGTAAAAAAAAAATCCTTGTTACTATAAGGTAAGCAGATCATAAATTATTAGAAGAAGCCTTGAAATTAGATTCTCTAGTGCTATCCAGTGTTTGTGTGTGTGTGTGTGTGTGTGTGTGTGTGTGGTTTTTGCAATTATTCACTTGAAATTGCAAAATTACATTTTTTTCAGACCAGTGTAATAGACCAGTGTTTCCCAACCTTGGGCCTCCAGCTGTTTTTGGACTACAACTCCCATCATCCCTAGCTAGCAAGACCAGTGGTCAGGGATGATGGGAACTGTAGTTCAAAAACAGCTGGAGGCCCAAGGTTGGGACTTGAATGAGGAACTTCCTTCATGGCTATATAACGGTTATCATCATTCTGTTTCTTCTCATTCATTCTGCTGTTTGTCACCCATACAGTATCAGAACCATACCATATCCAGCGGGTTCAAACAGCAGTGGCTCACAGTTGATAGACCTATCCCTTGTGAATTTGTTTACATCTCAATTTAAAGTAATTTAAACCAGAGGCCATTGCTACATCTTCTGGCAGTAAATTTCATAAACTTCTTTTACCTCTCCTGAATCTACTGCCAAGCCACTTCGTCGGTTAACCCTAGTAGTGTGAATCCAGGGTTGCAGGTTCAATGCCCATAAGGGTCAGCTGTATATTCCTGTGTTCCTTCCAACTCTTATGATTTTATGAGTCACATAGATATACTCTACCCACTGTCTCCATGCCATGCACTTCCCATCACCATTTCCCCATGGCAACTCCAGCCCCTTCTCTTTTATCATTTCAAGTTTAACTATACAGTGGTACCTTGGTACTCGAACGGCTTGGCTCCCAAACAAATTGGCTCCCAAACGCTGCGAACCCGGAAGTGAGTGTTCCAGTTTGCGAACGTTTTTCGGAAGCTGAACGTCCAATGAGGCTTCCACAGCTTCCGATTGAGTGCAGGAAGCTTCTGCAGCCAATCGGAAGCAGCACCTTGGTTTTTGAATAGTTCCGGGAGTTGAACAGACTCCCAGAACAGATTAAGTTCAAGAACCAAGGTGTCACTGGTTTTTTTTTTTTTTTAGATGAAGCAACCAGAACTGCATACAGCTAAGGGAGGACTTTGGTCTTTCAAATTTCAGCGGTGCCCTGTGCAAGGCCAAAATTTGGTGGCCTATGTCTCTTGCCTGTTGTTCTGCTCAGTTCATTACATCATAGTTGTGACACCCAGTGGCGCCCCCTAGGCTCAACGCCCAGTGCAGTGGAACCGGTTGTGCTACCCAAAAGCCAACTCTGACACAGCATTCCAGATGTGGCTGAACTGTAACTTATTCTTTGATGAGTATACTATCAGCACTAATATATCTTCAACAGCTTTCATTATAAGTAACTTGCCCTAAGGTCTCATGATAGTGTCTAAATAAGTGGCAATGCAGTCAAATAAATAAAGGCAAATATAATGATGATTGCTTAAAATTCCTGAATGTAAAAGTTATGGTCAGCATCAATGAACTGTATAACCATTTCTGCTTCTTTTGTTGATCACAGGAAACTGCATTTGGAACTAGAGGGAGTTTCAAAAGCATTTTGCAATATTGCATACAGGTCAGCTACCCAGAGAGAAAACAAAAAATCCAACCATGGATAATACTCCTATCTAGCAATTTATTCCGTTTGTAGATCATTTAACCGTTAAAATTTCACGACAAAATGCTTAATGCAAGATAGAAATTGGATTGAATTACCAGTTGTCTCATGGAACTCCAAATCATAAAAAAGATAAAATGTATTTTACATGTAACTTCTAAGAGGCTCCGATTTCTCAAGTTGTTGAAAGCTGGAAATGTTTCTGTTTTGAAGCACTAGTATGATCACATTTAATTTGTGTCACAAGTTAAAATGGTTTCACTGCTGTCATGATGAGTAAAATATAGCTGATTACATCTGTAAAATGTTCTACTTCATAGTGAGAAAAATGGATACGGAACACATTTTAACTAAGAAGTCTGGAGATCTCATTTCTTCAACAGCAGTTCTCTACATTGCATGGCAAACCAAAATGGATTTTTAAAGGTCATTTTGGGCAAAAGTGGTCTCAAACTCTTGGAAATAACATCTCACAATTCTTTAATTAGGTGGAATATTGCAGCAATGCATTTTCAAACATACATCTTACCAATGCCATACTGAAGCTACCTTTGGAATTAACACTTGTATCAGTGGAGTAAAATTGATATGTCAGAATTGCTGTGATGTCATATTTGCCAAATAGCTAGAGGGACAGGAGAGGAAGATAATTGTTTTGTTTTGTTCTTGTTTTTATTACGTTGTATGCTTATTATGCTTTTTTTTAAAAAAAAACCAATCTTGTATTTTATGCTGTGAACTGCCCTGAGATCTACGGATGAAGGGCGGTATAATAATAATAATAATAATAATAATAATAATAATAATAATAATAATAATAATAATAATATATAAAAATAATGTCTGCATAGTCTATAAGGAGGATGGTATCTACTAGATCAACTTGATTTCATAAACCTTTGCTACCAGTCCAGAGACCACACTTTTGGATGCTGAAAGAACAATGAAATTGAATAAATCATTTTGAAGCCATTTTTGTCTAATTCATTTCAGAGGGGGTACCAGCCTGAGAACTGAGAAGGGACATATGGAAGAAAATGAGGAAGTTGACCACAGAGAATAATTTCTCCATCAGGTCCGCTCCCCAGCCATGCCCCCAGCTTACCTGCAATTGGCCTTACTAGTAAGTAACTAGCCACCAGTGCAGTGAGAGGAACCAGGAGCATCACCTCCCACTGTGCCAAAGACTGAGGAAGGGAGATCAGCCCTGCCATAGCGTCATTGTGGCGCCAACCACCACACCCAGCAAAGGGCTTTGCGAGCCGAGTAGAGCCAGGAGCGATGGTGCCATAGTGACATGAACAAATGACACAGGACAGGTGTGTTGGGATTGAAAAGGCCATAACTTTGTTACAGTGGTGCCTCGCAAGACGAAATTAATTCGTTCCGCAAGTCTCTTCGTCTTGCGAGTTTTTCGTCTTGCGATGCACGGTTTCCCATAGGAATGCATTGAAAATCAATTAGTGCGTTCCTAGGGAAACCGCCTTCAGACCAGGTCCGGGGACAGTCTGTCCCCGGACCTCTTCTGAAGGCTGGGGGGGGGACAAGGGCTTTTCTTCCCACCCCCAGCATTTTAAAAAACCCCGGGACAGCGGAGGACTTCTCCGCTGTCCGGGGCGATCTTAAAATGCTGGCGGGCGGCATTTTAAAATCGCCCCGGGACAGCGGAGGACTTCTCCGCTGTCCGGGGCGATTTAAAAGCCCCTGGGAAGGCAGGCAGGGGGGACAAAGACTTTTGCCCCCCGCCAGAGGTCTGTCCCCGGACCTCTTCTGAAGGCTGGGGGGGGGACAAGGGCTTTTCTTCCCACCCCCAGCATTTTAAAAAACCCCGGGACAGCGGAGGACTTCTCCGCTGTCCGGGGCGATCTTAAAATGCTGGCGGGCGGCATTTTAAAATCGCCCCGGGACAGCGGAGGACTTCTCCGCTGTCCGGGGCGATTTAAAAGCCCCTGGGAAGGCAGGCAGGGGGGACAAAGACTTTTGCCCCCCGCCAGCCTTCAGAAGAGGTCCTGGACCTCTTCTGAAGGCGGGCGGGGGGCGAAAGTCTTTTCTCCCCCCTGCCTGCCTTCAAAAGCCCTCCGGGACAGGCAGGCAGGGGGGAGCAAAGACTTTCGCCCCCCGCCCGCCTTCAGAAGAGGTCCAGGACCTCTTCTGAAGGCGGGCGGGGGCGAAAGTCTTTGCTCCCCCCCGCCTGCCTTCAAAAGCCGTCCGGGACAGCGGAGAAACACGCTGTGTTTCTCCGCTCTCCCGGGAAGGCAGGCAGGGGGGAGCAAAGACTTTCGCCCCCCGCCTGCCTTCAGAAGAGGTCCAGGACCTCTTCTGAAGGCGGGCGGGGGGTGAAAGTCTATGCTCCCCCCTGCCTGCCTTCAAAAGCCGTCCAGGACAGCGGAGAAACGTGCTGCGTTTCTCCGCTCTCCCGGGAAGGCAGGCAGGGGGGAACAAAGACTTTCGCCCCCCGCCCGCCTTCAGAAGGTGTTCCCTCCCCGCCGCCCGGCTTCGGAGCATCGTTCTGAAGCCGGGCGGCGGGGGCAGGTGTTCCCGCCCCACCGCCCGGCTTCAGAGGAGCCTTCCGAAGCCCGGCGGCGGCGGGAGGAGGTGTTCCCGCCCCGCCGCCAGGTTTCGGAGGAGGTCCGAGGACAGTGGGGAAGACGCTCTGCGCTTCCCCGCTGTCCCGGATATTTCCCTATGGGTTGTCGTCTTGCGAAGCAAGCCCATAGGGAAATTCGTCTTGCGAAGCGCCTCCAAAACGGAAAACCCTTTCGTCTAGCGGGTTTTCCGTCTTGCGAGGTGTTCGTCTTGCGAGGTACCACTGTAATTACAGATGTCAATTCATGATCCCCCCAGGATCACCCAATGGGGCTGTTATGACCCGTTATGGACAAAAACCACCACCCAGGCTCCCTTAAGGTGATATTCCATGGCCCGCAGGGGGAGAAGGGAGGAATCTCTGAAAACTCTGCATAAAGTAATTCTCCAGGCAGGAGCTCAATTTGGGGAGGAAGCCTCCACTCGGTTTTAAAGAATTTTCCCCTTCTAATCAGCCCACCATACCTCAGCTTCCCTCCCAATTCAGCAGGGTTCCTGAATCCTCAAGGTGGGGTTTTGGAGGCTGCTATGAAGAGGATGGGACGCGGGTGGTGCTGTGGGTTAAACCACAGAGCCTAGGACTTGCTGCTCCGGTGGGAAGGTAAACGGCGTTTCCGTGTACTGCTTTGGTTCGCCAGAAGTGGCTTTGTCATGCTGGCCACATGACCCGGAAGCTGTCTGCGGACAAACGCTGGCTCCCTCGGCCTATAGAGTGAGGTGAGCGCACAACCCCAGAGTCGGTTACGACTGG